AAGATGTTTACAAAAGCTTCTCTGAAATGATTTATTTCATTAACCTTGGACCAGTCTATTTAATGCACATCTGCTCCGCACGGTCCAACCCCCTCTTGAATTATCAATAAGGATAATGCTGAAATAAACAACTGCAGCTCTGATTTACTGCTGACATTTATGCTTTATGTTCTCATATAATTTCTGATGTATGAGTCAGACATGAGCTGTAAATTGTTGCCATAGTTCATCCATTATGTTCTGTTTGACGCACAAAAAACATAATCCATCCTTTTAGGCATGAAAAATAATAATGTCCTTGTGTTTGCAGCTTTGTGACAGAAAAATATATCAATGCAAATTTCAACAGATTACAGAAGTCAATCATCTCTTAAATATAGGTTATTCACCTTGAAAAAACACTTGCAGAAGAATCTAGCCATGGACGTTAATACCAGCTTTCTTTAAAAATGAATTCTTGGATCTTTTAAACGATGAGTAAATATTTTCATCATACTTACACTATCATTGTACTATTATAATTATATGTGCTGGTTTAGCTTCTTAGCAATTGCTTCTGTTCAACTCGATAAGGTATGTCATGTGACAGAAATACGACATGAAGGGAAGAAGCGAAAAATACACATTATGTTTATACAAAGGTGCTGAACGATTACCGCCATTTGCGCAAGTTAAACATTTGTGGAATAAGGCATCATAGCTGTCCCTAGCTTAATGTCCTTTCCGCCCTGTGATTGGTCCCCATATCCATGCAAAGATTCCAACCTGAGTTTCCAGTTTGTTGTGCCATTCCAAATAATTCAAACTACTTTAGCAGTTTCCCATTATGATATTCATTAGAGCTAATTTTCTTTATTATATACACACATATATATATATATATATATATATATATATATATATATATATATATATATATATTTTTTTTTTTTTTTTCATATTACCCTGCCCCTTACTCAAAGAGGGGACAGGGAAATGAAGAAACTATGTAAAGGAATTGAGAAAGAAAAAACAGATAATACAAAAAAATTAATAACACATAAAACATGTTTCTGGTCATTGGCCCAACTTTGTATCCAGGCAAGTTTTTGTGTGTGTAGCAAACAACTGGCGAAGGGTAATTCAGCAAATTCTTCCTTTTGCTTTGGGAGAATGGGATGATCTGTGTATAACTACTCCACTATTGCACCAATTATACACACAAATGGTCACAAATCAATTTTAGCCTCATCTGAAGGAGACTGCAGAGTAAGAGCAGGGATTCATTTTGGCAGAGCTCTGACATGATTTCTGATGATTTAATTCTTTCCTTTTTGAGCTTTAAAGTGCACTGTTTGGTCCCACCGATATTTGAATAAAACATGTCACAATAATGATTACGTCTAGCTTCACGTTATTGAAGTGAAATGGCTTGTCTGACATGGAGCCAGTACCAAATAGTTTCTCCAACTACTTTCGGCCAAGTAATCTTTGCATTAATAATTGGAGAGCGGCCATGATCAACAGTTTACAATACATTCAATTGTCAAAACAAGTTTCTGTGCAGCACTTTTGAAACTTGTTTTATTAGTATTTAATACACTCACCAGACTCCAAAGACTCAACAGACAAGTAGAAAGAAGTAGAAATGTATTTTTTATATATACAGCAATATTGTTTAGTTCAATGTTTGCAATCAGTTGTGCTGCAAACATTGTATAACATATTTTAATAATGTATCTATTGTGGGGAAGGCGTGTCTTGATAATCCTCATAATAACGTGTTTTTGTGTAGCTCATATTTACAAAAAACATCATTGTCGACTTCTCTTTTTTAACATTTCTGCCCAGTATTTGTTTCTCCTTTTTCTCTTGAAGCTGTGCATTCCTGTGTGGAAGACCAGAGGAAGTACAGGGGATGATGAAATCCACAGAAAACATTAGGTCTGCTGTTTTGGATAAAACTAGGGATGAATAAATATTTGTATTTTCTACAGCAACACCCGTAGCGTTGTTGCTTTGGCATCTGCCGTGTTGCTGACCAAAACAGAAGTCTCTCACAGGCTTCCAATAAAGGAGCCAATACTGACCACTGCAGACTGGAAACACGAGTGGTGCAGTTTCTCTCCAGCTTCACTTCAACAAACATGTTTATTTTCTGGGGGTAACTTTTCAATGCTCCAAAACTCTTCATCAAGATGCTCTGACTAAAGCGCTTTACAATTGTGGGCATTTTCTTCATCACTCCACACAGAGATGGGAGCGGGGGTGCCATACAGGAGGTGCATGCCAGACATATTGTACATTTTTTTAGTGGTAGGGGAAACCGGAGCACCCGGAGGAAACCTATGCAGACACAGGGAGAACATACAAACTCCACTCAGAAAGGCCCTGTTCCGACCAGGATTCGAATCCAGAAGCTTCTTGTTGAGAAGAGAGAATGCTATCCACTCAGCCCAATTCTTGGAAACGAATCAAGGAGGAGGCGAGTTTCTGTTTGAGCTGAAGCATAGAGCAGAGCTGTGTGAGGTACTGTTCAAATGCAGCGTTTAAAGATGGTGAGCTCAGATGCAGGTGTGTAGAAGGAGGAGGTTCATTTAAAGTGGACATATCGTGTTTTGAAATAATTGATTTTTACATCTAAATCATTAATTTGTGGTCTATATAAAGCGAAACTGCAATGCCTGGGTCTGAGTCTCATTATTTGTAGCTCCACAGGCCTTTCTTCTACACCTGTTCTGAGGTGCGTCTGAGAGCAACCTGTTTTGGTACTGTCTCTTTAAATGCAAATGAGGCGCTTTTGACCACGCCCCCATTCAGGTGACACAGGTTCAACTCCACCCCGAGCGGCCATTTTCGTAGTTTCTAAGCACAGATACAATTATCTCATAGAAACTTCTCATTACATCGCAAACATGAAGCAGGCCTTCCTCATTGACTGAAATCAAATGTTAAGTTTCATTCTTAGTCCAGTCTTATTATCGACTCTTCTCTTTTTAGCTTTGGGATCCATGCGCACAGTCAAGGCAAGGAAAGGCAAGTTTATTTATATAGCACAATTCATACACAAGGCAACTCAAAGTGCTGAACAAAATATGAAAGCATTAAAATCATAAATAATCACAGAACATTAAAAAGAAAGATACAAATATAAAATCCCTCAGTTGTAGCACAGCTAAACAGAACTGTCTTTAACCTGGTTTTAAACATTGTCAGAGATGAGGCCTGTCTCACATCTTCAGGAAGACTGTTCCAGATTTTAGCAGCATGAATCTGAAAAGCAGCCTCCCCATGTTTAGTTCTGACTCTGGACACTAACAGGAGTCCAGTCCCTGTGATCCTCAGAGGTCCGGGCTGGTTCGTATGGTACTAACATGTCACTAATATATTTTGGAGCGAGGCCATGGAGAGACTTGTAACAAGCAGAGCTCACATGCCGGTTTGTTTACAACAGCGGCCGCCTGGCGCGGGCCTACGTCGCAGGATAAGACGCACTACGTGGACAGAAATGTTTAAATTGAATATTACTTATGCACAATTTTACAGCATTTAAAAACGTTAAGAACGTTTTTCCTTCTACAGAAGGAAAAAGACGCATGCGCCTCCGGAGCCGCAGGTTGCCGACTCCTACTTTATACAGTATGTGGAAGCAAATACTGTAGAGGATCAGGATATGTGCAGTTTCAACAATAAAATAAAATGCAATATTCTACATTACAAGAGAGCAATAAACATGTCTCAGAGTGAGGGAGGTGGACACAGACAACACTATTGTTTGTTACAGGGATGAGAATTGGTCAAAAAAGACTGAAATGCATATTGTCAGCCATTGGCTGGCTCTAAATCTGTTTAATCTGTTCACAACATATTACTTTTGGCCTCAAACATGAACTTTTAATGCAATGCAAAATGTAGGTATCAGAGCTTTATTTAGGGCGTTTAATCGCGCTTCGAGAGGAGAGGGAGACGCGGACTGTTTCCTGCAGCAGTGTATTTATTGGGTGCACAGATTACTCAAAGACACGCATGGTCCTGTGCGCGTTTATGGGGTTGGGTACATGGCCACGTTGAGGCTGTGCGCTCAGCCACAACACGGTGGAGCGGCTGCGAGCGGCTGGACGCTCACAGCCTCTCGCAGCCGCTGGACGCGGAAGCTGCTCATTACAAAGCGGCCGCAGATGCCCCGGAACACTGTGGCCGCTGAGGTGGCGGAATCCCGTTCGAGTACATACAGCAGGTGCCCCGCGGATACGCGCACCCCGCTCCAACAATTCTCAACGGATTTACACTTCTCATAAACATGTGTTTTGTATGAGGCAGACAGACCGGCCCAAATATGGGCATCGGCCCTTTGGGCATTGCCCGGTACGCCCGATGGCCAGTCCAGCCCTGTGCGCTGGCATCCTTGAGCTTGGACTACAAATTCGAAGTGATGCACAGTAGAGGAGGGCTGGGCCGAAGTGCTTTGTTAGACGCCCATGCCCTTATATAGCAGTCTCGCTGCAAATACTGTGACGTAATAATTCTAAACACGTAATAGAGAATGGCAAAATCAGAACGGGTTGAAAAATCTTACCTAAAAAGAATATGAAGTGTTCTCTGCAACCCATGAAGAGACTGATTTCAACTTTTTTGCACTTCTAGAGGCTCCAACTTCACAACATAAGGCATTTAAGACACAAAAAGTGGATTTTTCATGATATGTCCCCTTTAAGGAGCATGGGATTGTGACCACGGCATATTCAAGTCTTCCAGAACCTTCAGCTCCGAAATCTTTATTTTCTCAAATGAATTGTAATTTGTGAGTAAACAAAGAAAATGTGCACTTAGATATCGCACATGATCAGTCTCTCTATAAACCCCATGTCAAAACCAAAAACAGCATTTGTTTCAATTTATAGATATGTCACACGGGTACATTTCGTCCACCCAAGGAGACGATGATGATAAAATTCTCTCCAGGTGCATTGCAGGTCACTTTTACCTTAGTCTTGTTGCAGAACACACATGCGGAGTGACCATTAGCGGCTGGTCTGACACTGACACGGGCCTGGAGCAGAACTGCAGAATAACTCAGGCTGTGCTCCTGGGCCTATACATATTTCACATACACAAGCACACGGCATACTCCTCATTAGCGACAGTCACAGCTCAAAGATACAAATGAAATAAAAAAAAGCTGGAAATTAGGTTTCAACTGTCAAATCCAAAAGTTGCATCTATCGGGCCATTCAATTCTAAAAATGTCGTTATTGCCTTCACAGTGGTTAGAAAAAAACATCCATGAATGAATAATAATAATAACTATAACTTTTTGGTTACACAAAATAGTTAAGAAAATTACAAAAAGATAATAAGGATTTTACATTGGTTCTACTTTAATACAGGTTCCCAAATTTAATTCTCATTGACAGTTGCCGCAGCTGTTAAAGGGGAATTTTTAAAACCCAAAATATGGTCTGTCTACAGTCAAATACATCCAACTTACCATTATACTTTTATGGAAAGGATGTCAATACTTTTACTTTGTCAGGTTTTTTTTTATTATGGTCTATACCCAAAGGCATTAGGGAGATGCTTCAACCAATTCAGAATGTAATGTGTAGAAGCAAAATTGGTTTACATCCATTATTTCACTGTCAGTCATTGTGCTCGGTCCCAATCATGCGTCCACTTTCGCAGAGTCTGTTTATAGTATGTTGCCGGTTCTTTGTGATTCTGCCAAAAATTGAAGAGCTCCAAATGGGAAAAACGTCTGTGTGTGTCGCTGGGAAGATGTGAAAGACAATAGCCCCGTTTCCATCGCAGGAGTTGCTGGTAAAAGGAGCGGGGTGGAACTTTTACAGGAACCTTCCTCTCCCTTGGTCCTCCGAGTGTCCATGTCTCCATTGCAGTACCACTCGGCGACGTCATGAGTTTTGATTGCCGCATAAGCGAAACTCATTACGCCAAACATGTTATTATTATAGATCCATGCGCCAAATCCATTTGTTTATTTTACGTTTGTGTCCGTTCCGGTTGTTGTGGTCTTTGATTTTTTTTGTAGTCCTGCTTAAGTTTTTTTAAACTTTTCACGGCTTGTTATGGAGTGTGAAGAATCCCCAATGCTTCGAGGTGATAGCTGATATGTCTAAATATATCTTTTCATTTCGCCGCGATGCCTCAAACCCTGTCCACTGTAAACCCAAATTAGTAATCATTACTAAAGCCGCGCATGGTAAGTGATTGCACTGGGATGTCTAGTTTTTACAAAATCAAAAACCAAACAAATCAAGCTCTGTTTACATAAAGTCTTGTGTCCACGATAATCCATTACTAAAGAACTTGAGGTTTTAAAAATAATGCTTTTGAGTAATTGCCTAAACCATTACTCGTATATATCTGTAATCATTACTCATGTTCATCAGAGTTTATTTATCATGTTTATCAGTATTTATTTCTCATGCAATATAGTTAGAATTATGAAATATATATTGTATCATTTTTTTAAATTACACAATAATTGACAATTAGTTTTTTCAAAAATTTATTGCAAAAATTGTGCAATAATAACCTTTTAACATTCGAATCTGAGTAAAATGCAGTCATCTGCATGTAAACAATCAGAACAGCGCTTGTCTTTTTTTTTGTCACATTTCACCATGTTAAACTTTTAGACATATAAGCTAGATCTGAGAAAAGTGCTATGTCAAAACAATTCTGCATTTAACCCTTGAAAAACATTTCTCTTGGAAATTTTAAAACCTTGTGCAAAGAGGGAACATGCTTGCATAACATCTTATGAAATAACTGAGGTAGCATTTGTCATTTACATCATTAATCTGGTATCAAAGGAACAGGCCACCGTTCTTCCATACTGAAATATGTTCTTAACTGAGCTTAGACGAGTTGATACGTACCTGTTTGGTCTTTGTACATGCCCTGAGTCATGCAAAAATACCAGATGTTAACGTTTTGCCTCTCCCGGTATATTCCTATAGCTCCAAATGGGGTGAAGTTAGAATGGGCACAAAGACCAGACAGGTACTGTTCATCTCCTCGTCTAAGCTCAGGTAAGAACAGATCTCAGTATGTAAAAAGAGTGGCCTGTTTCTTTAAGACTTACTTGGAACCGTGGTATGGCTTTGATGGGTAAATTGCCTAAATGAGCGTCGCTACCTTTAATATTTGGAAGCCTTCATTTTTAGAGACAAAAAAACTAGCATGGTGGCACATAGTAATTGTTTGAAAAATAATGAACAGGAAAGTTGCTGTGTAACAGTTTTAAGTTTTTCAGCCTGTAAACTTCACCGGCCTCTAGGCCTATATAACAACACTTGCTCACATTTTTATGAATTATGTTTGTATTTAAATGTGGAATGCAAACTTCAGCAGTACAAACAATGAACTTCTAACTGCTAAATAAGTTTGAAAAAAAAAACCTTTTCTGTCCAACCATAACTAGAGCACCTGCAACATTTTACGCCAGTAGTTGATTCTTCAGTGTTTGAATTCTCGGCTTCAACTCGGTGCTTCCCAAAGAAAAAAATACCTGTTGAATGAACAGGAGGGTATTTCTGATTGTCTTCGGGTAGTTTAGGTGGAGTCCATACGTAAGTCCAAAAAGGAGACACACAGCTTCTGGCAGGGTTGTCAGCTTTTGGACAACAACTTCACCCTCAATGACGATTTTTAGGCTTGCTGGGTGAAGATCTGATGTTGGGGTAGAAACACCTTCAGGATTCACCAGCAAGATTCCAACATCCATTTGGCCAAAGGACTCATCACCATCCTAAAGATAAACAAAAAATGTTTGCCAGAAATATAACTATTAGTGAATAAAGTTACCGAACTACAACAGACAGCCATTAAGGGGCAGCAATTTTTTCTACCATTTGGCCACGAATTATAACATTTTGGTGTAATAACTATTTGAGGGAACGTCTTGGTCTATTCTGTCAATGGTGTATTCTGACGTTTATACAGAATTATTATTAATTTAATATGGGACGGTCGCAGTCATCACTGCACATAAACACAGCATGTTCAGGTGTACTTGAGATTGTGTATTTTATTCATTGGAAAGTGGGCAAACTGCTCACCCATCCTGCTGCACAGTATGGTGTTTTTGAGAGAAATAGTTATTGGTATTAGAATTTCAGATAAATTGAGTGACTACAAAGTTATACAAATATCGCATAGGATCATGTTATTTCAATAAAGCTCTAAAAGGGCTCCTGTCCTGTGCAAATAACTCCTAACCTCTAACAAGTACGGTATTATGAGGGGTCCAAAATATAACACACAATGCAAAAAAAGGATATGTTGCGCCAGAAAAATGTTACGATAATATCTAAACCACATTATGACACTGATGATAAAAAAAAAAAAAAAAAAAAAATAGAGAAATACAAAATCTAGCTGTCTTGCAGCTGTCTACGGAAACAAACTTCTATATTTGACCTGCAGATACCGCACTTTGGTAAAAATCAAAGATAATTATTATTCTAATAATAAAATGTTTGTATTAGATCTTGTTTGAGTAAGCATGGTGGATGCAGAAACGTTTATAATAGAAGATTATAAGTGAGGTGTACATGGGTGCGGTTTCATATGCAGTGTCAAATTATAATGTATTCTTACAGAGCTTGATTTGAAGAACTCAGTGGGATTGTCTCCGAGTAGGTGTGGAAGCCCTCTTAGCGCGACAGTCCTTTTTTCTGTGGGATCCAGTGACTGAAAGAACGATAATGCATTAAAAAAAAGTCTGTCATTCACAGAGACACACGCACAGACAATTTGTGCTTTTTTGTTGTGTCCCGGTTACAAAATATTACCTGCATTTGCTGCAAAAGCTGTGCCAAATGTTCGCCCACGTTGCCCCTCTTCGCTTTAAAGATTTCCATAAGACGGGTACGGTGATCATCAAGGGCAGAATAAAACTCCTGCTGCAGGTCTTTTCCCACAATCCTTTTGAATTCCAGGCAAATCTAAAAAAAAAAAAAAAAAAAAAAGAGAAATTAGTGGGTGCTGTAAAACTGGAAAAGCAGATAACCATAAAGAAAAGTTACGCATACCTGCTCATTAGTAAAGAGTGCAGGCCAACGTTGAATCAGAGAGCAGTAAGTAAGTAAGTAAGTTTTTATTTATATACCGCCTTTTCACTGCAGATCTGAGTCTCAAAGCGGTTTACAATTGTTAATTTTGGGCATTTGTCTCTCACTCCACACAGAGATGGGAGCGGGGTCGCCAGTACAGGAGGCGCATGCCAGAACTATTGGACATATTTTTAGTGGTAGGGGAAACCGGAGTACCCGGAGGAAACCTACGCAGACACGGGGAGAACATGCAAACTCCACTCAGAAAGGCCCTGGTCCGACCGGGATTCGAACCCAGGACCTTCTTGCTGAGAGGCGAGAGTGCTATCCACTCAGCCACCGTGCCGAGCTTATTGGTGGTGCTGTCTCCACAACGTCATTCCTCCTTAAGGCAAAGCTTAGGTTACTTTTGTAGGTCATGGGGCATTACAATGTTTTACTCAGCTGGAGAAAATGCACTCGGCGGGGGTTAGAAGGTTAACATGAGAGACCAAGTGCCAAGACCAGTGCCAAAGCCCTGGTCCATTAATCATGACACATGTTTCAACCGTAATTATAACCACAACCTAATTGTAGAAAAAAATAAAGTACACCTCAAAAATATATACATTTACTGAAGTAGCGACAAGATCAAATGCGGCGGTTAGGGTAAAAAAAACGACATGAAAAAAAAAGAAAAAGTAAGATTTGAACGAGCTAACACAGCTAGCTAACTTACCAAGCAAAATTCGCGGCTATAGAGGATCAGTGTAACGCTACAGAACAAACAGCCCTTGGTTTGCATGTTCACTGTCGAAGTTGCAAAAATATTAACGCATGCGGCAAATTAGTTTGAAGGCAACAGAAAGCTAACATTTCCCATTGCTAGCGCTTAGCATTAGCCGTTAGCGGCTAGCTGCAGTAACCTACATTCGCAAACGCGTTAAACTGCTAATACAGTCCCAAAATAAAACACAAAAGACTCCCATATACGACCAACCCAATATATTGTAGGGCTAAATGACGCAGTTGACTTTTCGGTGAAATATAATAGCTAACGTGAGCACGAGGAAAATATTATTTTACCCAGTGAGTAGAACTACTACAACGAAGAGAAATGTATGCACTTACCATAGTTTAATAAACTGCTACATCAACCAGACTGGCGCTGATTTCCCCAATTCCAGACAACTGTGACATGCATCGGTGGCCAACAGACAGAAGAGCCATGCTGTTATGGTTTGAAGTCATCGGGGTTCACTGCCTCAAGCCCCTCCCAAAACCAGTAAAACATGTAAATGTGAGGTGTCTCCGCTCAGAGCCATTAGTGGAGCAAATACTCGTTTTAATTAGTTTACAATTCACATTTTGTTTAATAATGGTCCCGCCTTTTGCAAAATTATGAAAAGATTAGTAGCAATAGCTTGACTTGTTATGTAAAAGAAAATTTGGGTTTACAGTGTCTGAATCACCGTGCTGTTCGCTGTTTCCAGTGGTGTCTGCTAGCCTAATGCTGCTAGGCTAATGCTGCGTGGCGAATGTTGAATGTCGGTTGTTTTGCTGCTTTCTGCTGGCGTCTGAGCCTGCGTTAGCTTTAGCCAATCAGCACTGGGTTAACCTCAAGTCCACCAGGGCCCAACGGAGTACATACCATGGAGGAGGGACTCTGTTGGGCCCATGGATCTATAATAATAACTGAATAGGGTATTACTAGCTTACAGCTGTCCCACCTATGGGCACAGGGGGCGCCCATGGTACTGCAGACTAAATTCACGAGGGCTACCCAGAAAAAAGTCCCATAGAACTCAATGTATATTAAAACAGCACGACCTCAGCTGACAGAGAACCTACAGCTTTCATAAAGATCGGATTTTGTGGGGATTTTAGTGTCCCTTGTCATCCTGAACTTTTTTTCTTCTTAAATCCTTCGGTTTTCTTTAAATCCGCACTTTACTGTCACAAACTCTGCTCCCTGCCTTCCCGCGCTGGCTCCGCTCTTCCGCTGCTCTGATTGGTCAAAGCGCGGCCAAGCCCCTCTGTGCGCGTGCATGAAAGCCACACACGCACGTTTGGCGTGACGCATTATGCTAATCCACTGCGTAGAACCGGGAGGACCAGACGATGCCCAAATATAGACGAGTTCAGCTAATCTCCCGGTCTCCATGAAGTCCCATGCTCTACTGAGCACAAGCCATTCATTTGAATAGGGCGCCATCTTGGATCGTCGGGGCTTGGTTGGGCCCCGTAAAAGTTCCTGTAAATGGACCTGTGGGGAAAGTTCCTGCAGTGGAGACATGCACCAACGGGGCTGGCCCTGGAAAATTACCCCGAAGTTCGGTTCTTGGGGTGGAAACGTGACTAATAGAGGACTGACGAAACTCTCAGAGAACGAAAGGTGGAACTTACGGTAAAATCACCCAAAATACCTAAGACTAATACTTTTGTCACCTCACCTGACCTGAGAGTAAGTAAGTACACACTACCATCAGAATATAATTGTGTGAAATAAAGTATGTTATTGCAGCATACAGCACTTTTAACGGCTCCTTTCCCCTCGTCCAACACTTCTGAGAATTAGCAGATGGCGAGACGCTGCTAAAGAGCGGCCGTCAACATTGTGTGATTCAGATTTAGACCTAATGCACTTTCCTCTTGGCAGGAGGAGTCGTGTGGAGCAGAGGTGGGCCATTATAGATCAGCCATAACAAGGAGGCTGAGAGTTTTGATTTGGGACGTGATACATCACTCCTAAATTCATACTGCAAGGGTCGAATGAGACGGTCCATGTCTAACAGCGGCCAAACGACGCGAAAAAGCTAATACAACGTAATTCATTGAAAGTGTTCTTCAGAGGATGTCAGGCCATAACAGAGAAGCCATAAAAGCCTGGATTTAGCAGCACGTAAAGTATTATTTGCTGATTTTCCATTTTTGCAAAGATATTAAGATACCTGCTTTTGACTTGAATGTTCTACACTTTATTCGTAGAGCCAAAAGCATGTCAATTATGATCGGAGCAGTATGCATTATGAACAAAATGTAAGGGAAGGGGCAAAGTATGGGGCAACACGGTAGCGGTCCTGGGTTTGGTTCAACCTCCAGATGGGTCTTTCTTGCGGATTTTGCATGTTCTCCCTGATAAGGCAAGGTCTAAATGAGGAGAACATGCACATTTATCTAACATTCGTGGACATTGGTCATCCTTCTCCCTATGGACCAGTGGCTTCTATGTGTTTGTTATTATTGCGTTTCCTGCGTCGGAACTATTTGATTCTATGATCTGTAGTTGGTGAATTGACAACATTGAAAAGTCCTTTGAGACGACTGCTGCTGTGATTTAGGGCTACACACAAATGAATTAAGTTGAATTGAAAATGGACTTGGAAGATCCGGTTTAGTGGAGGGCGCACTGGATTCAGAGGTGGGTAATATTAAGTAGATTTGAGCAAAGCCATAACCCGTCCCTTTAGCCACACTCTCTTCCTGAAGAACTGATCAATGGTTTTAGGTTCAAGGAACGTGATACGGATACGTGTTTTTTTGTTTTTGTTTCGCAATGTGGTTGGTCTCTTGTATACTGTAGGCATGAGTGATGGATGGGTGAAGTTAGAATGTAGTGCGCTTGGGGTAAGTGACTGACTGATATGACTGGAGAACAACGTAACTGTACAATAATGTCACAATTCGGATCACATTAAACGAAAATGGAAAAAGTAACGTGATACGGAGAACCCAGGGTGGACTGTGAGCTTGCGTCATGGCCTATTTACTCGCTGTGCAGGTTTCCTCCAGGTCCTCCAGTTTCCTCAACCTCAAAAACATGAACAAGGCGACCCTGTAGGGAGAGGAAAAACGCAGACCCCAATGTTTAAGTCTCCAAGAGGCCCGAAGACTACAGAAGCCTCCTTCACTTTGAATAATCTGAACACAACATATACAAAATCTCAAACTCACCAAATCATAGAATCCGTGTATTTGGACTGCATCAAAAGATGGTTCATTAATCTCTCGTTCAAACCACCATCCTTCCTCAGCTGCTGCCATAACAAACAAATCCCTTTATGACTTTAAGGAAGTTAATTAAGTTTAATCACATCTTACCTGAAGCTGTGAACCTATTAATAACCTGTTTCTATCAAAGATGCTTTACTGTCTCTTGGGCAATGTTTCGAGTGATCCTTATCATCTTTTCTGATGAATGTGCTTTGAGCCAAATACAAATCTAAAGTAAGATTATCCCAGTTTATCTATATTGCATGAATAAGAAAGACTTATGGGAGCAGAGAGTTAAAACAGCTTCATGTCTTTAAAACATACATATGACTAAAACAGAAAAAAAAACTAGGCTGCTCTGAAAATTATGGTAAAAATAATGATTAATATGAATAAATTATTAGTTATTATATTGTGGTTGGATTTTATACAAACAAAAAAATTACTTTCAGACTCTTTCTGTTGAGTGAGAAACAAAACACAGTCAACAAATGAACCACTCAGTTTAAATATTTCAAAAAGAAATACTGGTTATCAAAGTTAGAAAAAACGGTACTATACTTTCAAAGGTATGTACCGTTCTGTTACTTTACTATCAGCTGTTTGCTACAGGGACGTGCGGTGAGGTTTGTGATTGGGGAGGCACTGACTTTAAAAGTCAGATTTACAATCATTATTCAAATAAAATAGCATTTAATCACCAATGCAATGACATCCACAAACTTTATATACTGTAAAGATAAGAGAACCAGCTTCTTTTAATAATCTCACAACAAATCTAGCTGCTGACTCTGCTCCGCATCAAACAACATCTTTAAGAAGAACAGGTGCGAGAGACGCGAGGAGAGAGGAGCAGAGAGAGACAGAGAGGAGCAGAGAGACGGAGACGCGAGGAGCAGAGAGAGACGGAGACGCGAGGAGAGAGAGACGCGAGGAGAGAGAGACGCGAGGAACATAAACAATAATTTAAACAAGTTGCAGAACTCTTGAGCAGTGTTTGAATCAGTGTTTTTCGGAAAAGCACTACTTTGCCGGTATCTGTCAATGTTCAACATAAAACACAGATTAACAAACTCCTCCCCCGCAGCCGGACTAACCTCGTAAGTCCAGTGGTGGTCTCCCAGTCTATATTAATTCTTTCTTTGTTTGAAAGTCCAATTGAGAAAAAAAATCTTCATTCAAATCATCCATTTTCCAGCAAAAGAAATAGCATTTTGGGCTGATTGTTTGTTAGCAACTCTGGTATGAACTTTATGCTCACTATCACCCCTAGCGGTGAGGCACAGATACCGCCTGCCTCACGCCAAGCTTTTTCCTTGTGTGTTCATCTACGATCAAAAGATTTAAACTAAATATAAATTGTACACACATACGTGCAATACACTACTAAACACTAAGAGGAGTTTAAAAAATGTTTTTAAAGCAGGATATTTGAAACAAACGGTGATATATCAACTGCACGAGCTGAGTGCACTCAGACACACACACACACACTGTGAGGGAGCGGTCTGGGGTGAGGCACGCAGGAGCGCTGCCTCACCTCGTCTCTTTGAATAGGAATAACGGGATTTCGGCGATTTTGACTTCAGAAATGATCAAAACTGATGGGAACCGTGCCGAATATACATTAAAAGCATAGGACAGTGGATATAAATTATATATTTAAACTAAAATAATTATTAGTTTCCAATAATGGCAGGTGAGGCTCTGCCTCCCCTGCCTCCCCTGACTGCACGTCCCTGGTTTGCTAGTGCCATGGGTTTGGGTGAAGGGTCATGCAGAGAGATGCAGAACCTAGAAGTGCGTTGACCCAGCATTAGTGCAGTAGAAAAACAGAAAAAGTCAGTGAAGCAGCAGAGTCCAGAGCCCAGAGGAGGTTTGGGAACGCAAAGGACACAATTACACTGTGCAGAAACAAGCACAACTTTAACATCTCCAACATCTCCAACATGAATCAGAAACGACCGATGGAGGATCAGGAGTTCTAGATGTCTATCAGCCATATTGACATATTTAACTTTAACTCCGCCAGGGGGGGGTCATGTTTTCACCAGGGTTTTTTTGTGTGTGCCTGCAAGCAATATAATTTAGGGGTGGATTCTTATGAAACATGGAAATTGGAAAAGTCACCAGATTTTTGTCCTGTACAAATCCAGGAATTACTTTCCCGAATTAAACTGCAGCTCTTTGAGTAAGTCTGCGATCTATGAGTTGTATTGCGTTTGTAAATATTGAGTGATTTCAGTAGATTATATAAATATGAGAGAGAATTCTGCTGCAGTGCAGAGTGTTTGAGAAAAAAAGAAACATGTTTGTCTTTGAAAATATTTTTGAGCAATTCCAACGGTTTGTGCTGCAGCGATTGTCGCAGTTATGTGTATGGCCGTAGATACAGACTTGTGAAAGAATTGAAGGTGAAATCTCGAAAAGTGTCTTTGATGGCCTTAAAGTCTCTTTTCAAATGCAAAAGTTATATAGCACATAAGCTTTTATATGTGAGTATGAAGTTTCATCAGAAATTGAGGCTGCAGTCTGTGAGTCTCTTTATCATAGCACTCACAACTGGATTTTTCAAACACCAAAACAATGCATATTTATACATATTTAAACAGATGTGAATAAAAAACACCATGACTTAAGGTTACAGACCTTGAAAAGTAAACTAAATCCCTTCAGTTCTTTTTCAACTGAAGTGTCCCTTCAGTTGAAAAAGCTTGACAATTGCTGTGTGCATTTGTTTCTTTTGTTTTTCAAAAATACTGTTTTGCTTTGATTGTCTGTGGGAGCCTCTTGCACACCTGAGAAAGGGACGAGCAGGAACTTAAAAGTCCCTATAGTTTTGAGTGGGTGGGTTGAAATAATCTATTCTCCATCTTACTTAGATTTTACTGCAAATAGCACACAGTTTAGCAGTCTCAATGGATACAAGCAAGCTACTACTGAAACCTCTGTTTTGTTCCTTGGATTACATAAGACAAAACAAAATATTATCAAATCTACACAGAGTATCTTTTAACTTGTGAAAACACTTGCTGCTATAATAATAGCACAACACCATGGTATCTCACATGCCCCCCAGGGCATGAAACCATGGCATATCATCTGAGCGAAGGGCCTTGTGAGTGCAGTGGTGAGTAATACTTCTAATTCTGCAGCTGTCGCTCTTGTTCGAGGCTCAGAACAACCACACCTCTTCAAAGCTGTCTCCTCACAGTCCTTTGTTGCCTGTATCTCATTCCTCCTTATCGCTCCAACACCAAATGCCTCTGGCTCCAGACAATGGGGAGATAGTGCTGTGTGGTGCAAATTGCAACATTGGCTTCAGTTTTCGCTTCATATTGGGGGATTTTAAATAGACTGTGGTGGAGCTTGGTGGCCAAACACACACACACACACACACAGAGAGACATTGCTTTCTGTTTAGCTATGGGCCGGTGCTCTTGGGTTGTCTTCCTCTCTCAGAAATGCCAGACCCGACTCCACTGACCCAAATACATGTGTTGTGAAGCCGCAGCAGTGGCATATTTTAAAAGAGAAAATGCATTCTCCTGCCAAATGAAATGCTTTACTCCTGAATTTCAATTGGGACTGGCATCATCGTATGGTGATCATTCCGACGGGAAAAGAGACACAGCAACAATGTATGCTTTTGAAATCCTATAGGGGAGAAAATAAAAGCATACCTTTCATGTTTTCCTGATTGAAAGTGCGTAATAGCAGGTCAAGGTTCAGGTCATATTTGTGAAGGCCAATGAAATTCCACGGAATAGAAGGTTTGAAGGCCTTTCACAATAACATTATTTTATTTTTTGTTTTAATTTTTATTTATTGAATCAGAAAATGAGTGGGATGATATTGATACTACTTGATGCCAATCATACTTTCACAAGGAGTATAATCCCAGTGTGGTTCAAGAATTGTTTCATTGTCCATTTCATTAAAAAGTATGCAATATGAAAATAAACAGCAGACTTAAGTAATTGAACTTTATGGATCTTTATGAGACTTTTTGTGCAATTATGTTAAAACTGAGCTCCTCAGATTAATTTCTGACAGTCAGTCAGTACTTTTGGTCTGAAGGTCACAGAAAACGTATCCAAGGGGACGCAGATGCTGGGGGAGCTTTGGTTTTTTGTTTGGTATAAACTTAGCATCAGAGTTTTATCTTATTATCTTAATATACTATCCTGGGTCTACTTCCAGTGGGACGTGCTCAGGAGGCATTCGGAACAGATGCCTGAGTCACCGCAACTGGTTCCTCTCGACGTGGAGAAGCAGCAGCTCTACTCCGAGCTCCTCCCTTGTGACTGAGCTCATCACCCTATCTCTAAGGGAGCGCCCAGCCACTCTGCAGAGAAAGCTCATTTCAACCGCTTGTCGGTCATTACCCAAAGCTCATGACCATAGGTGAGGGAGGGAACAAAGATTGACCGGTAAGAGCTTTGCCTTTCGGTTCAGCTCCCTCTTCACCACGACGGTCTGATACAGCGACCGCATCACTGCGCACGCTGCTCTGATCCGCCTGTCAATCTCACGCTCCATCCTTCCCTCACTCGTGAACAAGACTCCGAGATACTTGAACTCCTCCACTTGAGGAAGCAACACTGCGGGTGGTTCAATATAGTGACATCTGAAGTCTAATGAATATCAATATGTATAAAGTGCACCTTTTACAGTGATTTAGAGAGTAAGAGCCAGTCAGAGAACAGAAAGGTGGCTAAGACAACAAATTGAATTTTGAAATGGACGAACACACATTTCTGCTGGGGGACCTCCAACCATCTTTGCCACTGTTGCCCCCAAGAGTAGCAGCACCAGCAGTTGTAATTGTGGCAATATGATAGAAATAGTGATGGCTGAAGTGGTCTCCAATGGGTTTCACATCGGTGTCATTACGAGCTCCTGTACTTGCCATGTCCTTTCAAATTGGTGTTCTTTTCAAAACCATTTCCCCTTACTTGGCTTCCATTTAGATGACTCCTCTCTCCCTCCCCGGAATTTGACAACACAGACTTGGCTGAGTTAAAAACCGACTCTAGTTACAGGACGATCTCTGAGCCCATTGGAATTTCAAAGAGCTTTCTGCGTGTGCATCCCCTACCGCGCCGGCATTCCAGGCAAAACAGAACTAAACTTTATCTAGAAACAAAAGAGAAAAGAAGGATAGTGCTTCTTTGATATAATGTGTTTACTTATTATGTCTGTCTAATATAGTTTTGTATTGTGTGCAGGCCAGTTGAAATCAAATACTTAGCTGAAGCCAAGTAATGAGGCCAATGTTTAGGAAGATTGAAGTGCTGCGTAAAGTCTTCGTTTAAAATGATCATTGGACCTTCAAAATCAAATCAACCAAATTGGTGACTTGGAAAAGACATTCTACTGCACACACTGCACTATAATGAAGACCAAAAGTACAGTTCCTAGAGAGATACACCCCCCACGTGCCCCAAAGACACCAGTCCCAGTCATGCATCCATCAGCTGAGAAAGCACCATCTGAGGAGCTGTCTGCACTAGGATCAGAGAGCTGTCAGGGAACAATCCAGGACCCAGTATATATTTTTCTGATGCTAAATACATACTTTTACTCAGACTTAAATAACATTTTAGGGCAAAGTGGGGTTTAGTGCCCAAGGACACAACGACAGCAGTCATCAGTGGGAGTCGTGAAGTAGGTCTCGTGGTGGTTGCGAACCTACTACCTTCACGCCCAAAGGCTGTTGCTCTACCAACTGAGCTACTGTATTGTTTATTTCAATAGATGGGAAATGCAACAAAAAAACTTCCATTGATTCTTGAAAACTTTTCTGTTCTTTTTGGAGGCGGTTTATGATAGGTATGCATGAGAAGAACGCTGGGAAAAACCCCTGACACATTGTAATGAAAATGTATTGGTGGAAGACAACTGGTCCCATCTCTATTGATTTACATGGAGGATACATGGTTTACGACTTCCATTAATCTTTATGTCTTTCTCTGCGGCCGTGGCTCTTGTTCATATTGTTATTGGACAGTGATTATACATGTACATAGATTTTAAATATATCTACCTCATAACATGCTTTATGATGTCCAGACTGGCCAATAACAGGACATTATTAAGTCCTGTACACATTTATGATAGAATTTTACTGCTCTATCCTGCTTGTTAACACGTTATATTGTCTTAGCTATTCCAAAGCTCACCAACAGAATAGTTACTCTTGCTGCATTTAAAACAAAGTGCCCGACCTTTTCCACCCGAGAACTAATTTCCAGGATGCTTATCATCCTGGAAAGTTTAATGGTGAGCTACACAGCAAAACATGATACAAGATATGTTTTTTTCTGGTTCTTTTTGTGGTTCTTTTAAAAGACAAGTTAGATGTATTACCTTGTTATTATGTTTGCCTGCAACAACCGACATGAGGGAGCCTTCCTCCTGTCGCACACATGGGACCCTCCTCCAGAGCCTACCGGGCAAGAGGGGGTATTGTCAGTCACCTGGCAATAGGGGGTGTGGTCAGTCACATGGTAAGAGGGGGTGTGGTCAGTCATATGGCAAGAGGGGGTGTGGTCAGTCACATGGCAAGAGGGGGTGTGGTCAGTCACATGGCAAGAGGGGGTGTGGTCAGTCACCTGGCAAGAGGGGGTGTGGTCAGTCACATGGCGAGAGGGGGTGTGGTCAGTCACCTGGCAAGAGGGGGTGTGGTCAGTCACCGGGTGAGAGGGGGTGTGGTCAGTCTGTGCGACCTTTCTGACCACGCCAACTCGGGAAATAAGATCAGCTGATAAATGTCATCAAAGCAGGTACAGTACTAAAGATATAGAACTAGTCTTTCAAAGAGCCACAAACTACATTTGAACTTGAAAACAAAAAATTACCTTTATCACATTGACATTTATCACATATAAAGATAGCATCATATTAGATTTTGTTTGGAAATGTGTGTTTTTGTTAAATCATGTACAGTTAGTTACTTATTAACCATCTATTTTAAAGAAAGTCATTGTCAGCTACTTTTGAAGAGAAACCTAAAAACCATGCTCATCTCTGCAGTTTTCTGATTGGTTGAAATTAATCAAAATCCTTAAGGCTCCACGTCATTGGTTTAATTAAAACGGCAAACCTTACTGGTCAAAGTGAGGCCAAGGAAAAGGATTGTATTAAATATATTATTGTTGTAAAATACTTATGGTACATAATGTGCATAATAGTATAGTCAGGAAAATATGTTTTTTGAAAAATACAGCATAAATGTAATATCTAAATTCTTTGGGGAACTATTTGAAGGAGCTGGTGCCCCCCGAGCTATATGAAACCAGAAAAATCAATGGTTATGACTAGTTGTTCTTCATTTTTACATTATAATTTTTTTCTGAATGTTTTTGCCTTAACTCAAGCTGTTGACAGTGAGCCTTTGTTAAATTTGGAGCTTGTTTTCTCTTCAAGCCAACAGAAAAAGAATAAAAACCCTGTCTCTTTGGGATTACTTGACTTGAACAAAGAAAATGCCGAACATCTTGTACTGTACATATGAAGCATGAAGAAATGAAAACTTCAAAATCCCATATTGTCCTCTGAATAGAAGTTTTAAACACATTTAATTCAGAAGGCTCTCTCTTTTTATACCACTTCTTTTCACTGTTTTACATGAAAATCTACGTCAAGGGTCTCTTTTCTCTAGACGGCTCCTTTATTTGGACAAAAATGGCAAATAGCAATTTCTCTAAGCAGTCGAAAGAAATGATTGGACACAACAGCCTTAGATGGGTTGCAACCACAGACGTTGCAACTGGAAGCCGATATAACAATATATGCATGCATTTAATATCAACCCCTTTCCATTTTTGGGTCGGGGGTGGCAATGAGAGCTGCCACCCAATGTTCATAGCACCAGTCCCTCGCTGATCCTCTGCAGGTGGTGAGTCCACAGGAAGATGGCTACTACATCAATGGTGTTTCAGCGGGAACTTCAGGCAATGTGGGGTTAAGGGTCTTGCCCAAGGACACAACGACAGCATACATTAGTGGGAGCAGTTCGAGTAGGTCCCGTGATGGGCTCGGACCCACGACTCTCCGGCCCAAAGGCCAATGCTCTACCAACCAAGCTACTGTCGCCCCCTGTTATATCATATTTTCAATCGCAAATCATTTCTAATTGCTAAATCCTTTTGGGAGATTCATGCAAAGAGGTGGTGAGATAGAACTGTAATCACACGCAAGAAATGTTGACGGAATTTAAACATAACAACAGTCAAATTCGCTTTTTAAGTAGATGAGTATAGTGTGATTTCCATTACACAGTGTATGTTTTGTTGATTTATGACCCATACTAATGCACTTCATCTAGAGCAGCTCATTACCGCAGTGCACAGACTCGAACAATATGCAATGGATTGGGCCGTAATGATTATAAAACAAAGCGTCCTCCACATATGAGGTGATTAATGGCCACTGTCACTCACATGGAAACAATATTGCAGCATTTCCGTGCAGCGCTGTGTCCTGGAGAAGCCCTGGAGAAATGCACAGGGGACGTTGTCAAAGCGTCTGATTCCCATTTCAGCTGTTGCCTCCCGGGGTCGCCTTTGTGAATCGCCTACAACTGGAAAATTGATTATGTTTTCAGTATTATCTTGCGAAAATAAAAGGAGGGACATGAATTAACAGGGCTAGTACTTTTTGACTTTGATGAGAATTTAAAGATTAAACACAACAGCTCTGTTTGTCCCCTTCAGTATTTCATTATTCTGAGAGTGATTTATGCATGTTAAGTCATCCAAAATATTCATAAGTCATACCTTACCAGAGATCTCTACTTATTACACTTCTTTGACATATAAGACACTTTTACAAAAGAAGAATGAACAAAAGTACAATTATATCTATTGTATATGTCTTTTGTGTTCTACGTTAAACTGTCAAGGCTATAGTTCCATTCTTCCTGACTTTATACTTAACAGTAGAAACCGTCTTCATTCAATGTGTTTTACACCGCATTTATCTTTAATGACTAAACTTCTGACTATGAAGTAATAGACAATAACATTTCAAGAATTGCATTTCTCAAAATTATCTCAATAGCAGTTACATTTAGGTAAAAAGATGAATGTGTATTTTTCATGTATTGTTTCTACTGTGCGTCCACTTAAGTGTCTATGATGTCAATGCATCTCCAAAGCTTGAATTTAAAGATTGTGTGACTCTCTATTGAGGACTCAGCTCAGCAAGGAGACCTCCTGCATGTTTGGACGAACAGGAAGAAATCCAGTCAGAAGAATATATCATTAACCTGTCCTGGGACAATCAGTGGAAACCAGTATTTTTGCTAAAACATGACATAGTTTCTTATAATAATAGTAACATGTATTGCATATTGTCCCTGATCTCATAAATAAATTAGATTCCTAGAAAAAGCCTGATCTTGCCCACAAGCTTGCATGATTATAGCCACTGACCGGTTGTACCAGATGCCACAGTTTATGTTTTTGATGTGTCTATAGGCGAGACACATTGTGAGTGGTGATGGTAAGAAGGCAGATGATAAGTGATAGAGACGATGAGTTGTTCTTATTGTAGCCAAAGTCTCCACTTGTTTTACTGTATTATGTCCTTGTTGTCTCACAAATAGTAAAAATGACCTCGCTCTATGTGCAATATCTCTGCCATAAAACAGCCCAGGTCAGTGTTTAGCCTTTTCGACAACTCCATAAACCACACAGTTAGTGTAGAGGCGCTCTGGGCTTTTCCTGACAATGATTTGTGTTGCATTAGGGCTGAAATCATTGATACAGTTTTGCATTGGCGTGGCCTTCTCTGCCGCAGATGTGATTAATTGACTTCCGACCAAAAGCAGTTAGCCATAATAAAATATTTGCATGCTCCCTGGAGGGTTTTGAAAAATACACAGCCTAGTCAAAATGTCCGCTAGCAAGATTAAAAGAGCTGTATGTAGCTATGGTGCCAAGGATGTTTGGATAGTTGGGATTGATTCTAGCCTGGGTTTCCATTGTTTTTTTTGATTTTTATTGTAGGTTATTAAGTGCAACATGGAAAATGCGGCGGCAACAAAACTTACACAAAAAGTAAAAGTTGCCTTCAAAGTTTCCATGAGAAGTATAGCGTCATTAGCCTGTGTTACTGTGAAACCAGGGGAAGGTTGTTTCCACTGAACTCAGCTTGATCAGAGCAAACTGCCAATATATGCTTTCTTCTGTTTCCAAGTTTGGTCCTGCTCTCGTATGCATGCTGCAATGTTGTGGCATCTTTCAAAAATAATGAGATTCAAGTGGTATAATATGAAGTGGGCAAAACTAATAACAAACCACTTTTCAAACTCATTACCCTCTGTTATAAGGTCAACTTCAAACTACACCGTTATTATGGCTGTAACGATTCTTACCGCCTGTTTAAGGGTGACCACTTTTTAGAAATTGGGACGTGCTTGTGTGGGGAAAGGAATAAGGATGCTACTGGTGGTTTTGAACATGGCTGTTTTATTACGCATTTAGTCCAATTGATTATTGATGGCTCATTCACACAACATTAATATCAGAGAAGCAACATATTCTCCCAAGTTGGTGGGTATGACATTTCTAAAAAATAAGGATAACAGTGGCTTTTAAATAGGATAAAAACTGTGACTACGCTTTGTAAGTGGGACTTTTGGTAACTCTAATACTAAGCACGTCAGCCGTGTTAGCCAAGACTTTCTCCAAAGAACCCTTTAAGGTTTGGTCCTAAATTCCTTGATGTTGATCTTAATTTCAGAAGGCTAAAACAAAAATTTGATAAAAGATAGAGGCTTTCTGTAAATGAGAGAAATATTAAAAAATGGCTCAAAGTTTGTGTAAGAATTAAATTGACCCATCTAATTTGCATATTATGACGTCATATGTGGTAACCATGGATTTTAGAATTTTCATGAAATGTATTTTTTTAACTGACAGACGTGCAAATCACTAGGACCTGATCACACAAACAGAACTCACAGGGAAATGATTACTGCTCCGACTGTGAGCAGCCTGCCCACAGCCTGTTTGTCGCAATCTGCCGCTTTAAACACTACCGCATCTTGTCAACTTAAGTCAACCGTAGTCCTTGAGGGTAAAAGAAGCATAAAAAAACACTATACTCAGTATTTATTTGAAATAAAAACGTTTTGTATATTTATTCTGAAGCATGATGATGATTGATGGATTTTACAATGGACAATCCCACATGACATCACTCTGCAGATATGTAGGTACATAATGATTAATCACCCTGTTCCTGGTTCTCCGGTACGAGATTTGCATATTAGCTTGTTATTTTGCTGTGGGAAAGCAGTTGCAACCACAAGGCGATCAACACGGCACTGAACCACTGCTTGATAAGAGCCAACCGCCAAGACGTGCGTTTCTTCTCTTTCCAAGTCCAGTCCTCTTCTGATACATGTGTGTTTTTCCAGTGGCCTTCTTCCCAGCTTCCTCCCTCACCAGGGATACGGTTAATTCAAGAAGGCGCGTGGTGAAAAATGGTGAAGTAGAGCTGCCGTGTTTCACCTTTCCTCCTGACAACTTGTGCTTAGCCGCTTAATGAGGCGGAGACGGTCGGAGCATGTGTGGTGTACAGAGGCAAAAACTTGATAAGGTAATCTGGCCTGAGTCCACTAGGGACATTTTATCTCGCTTTCTGTGTTATGGAAATGTTATCGCCTTCCAAATGGAGAAGAGAATCTGTACAAGAATGAATATAATACAGTGTCGGCCTATTCTACCGAGGGGGAACATGTTGAATGTTTCTATAA